TTCGGACGCCTGGTGGGTGGCCGGTGCTGCCTGGGGCAGCGGGCGCGGGCGCTGCTGGAGCCCCTGGGCCTCACCTGCACCTTCATCGACGACTACTTCTCCTACCACGTCCTCTCCGGGGAGGTCCACTGCGGCACCAACGTCCGCCGCAAGCCTTTCGCCTTCAAATGGTGGCACATGGTGCCCTGAAGCGGCCTCGGCACCCGCGCTGTTCCTCCTCCTCCTCCTCCTCCCCAACTCCCTCTCCCCATCCCTGCAAGTGCCTTCGCCCGCGGCGGCCCTCGGCCTGCCTTTCAAATAAAAAAGGGCTGCAGCTTTCTCCTGGCCTCCCGCTCGCTGGGTGCAAGGTTTGAAGCTTTGTTCGAAACGGGAAGACGGGGTTTTGTCACTCTCTGGGTGCCGCTTGGTGGTGGTACGGCACGCGGGCATCGCTCTCCCAGCACAGCAAGTAAAATCAAACTGGTTAAACGGGGGGAAAAAAAGGGCTGAGGGGGGTTATACAGGCCTCTGGGCTGCTGCAGTGATGCATATGCAAAAACGCACGTTCAAAAATGCATGGGTGCATGCCCCAAAACACACACACACAGAGCTCTGTGTGCGTGCAGACAGCATGCACAAAAATGCGTGTGCATGTGCAAAAACACGTGCACGCAGAAAAATACACACGCGCACGCAAAACCACGCATACGTGTGTGTACAAAACCGCACACGTGCACAGAAATACACGTGCATCCATGGAGAAATACATGCATGCAAAAAACCACACGCGCATCGAAAAACACCACACATGCGTGCAGAAAAGCAAGCATACGTGCAATGTATGCACGAAGAAGCACGTGCACGCACCGCACCGTGCATGCGTGTGCAGAAATACAGCTGCATGCACAAGAAGTGCGCACCTGTGTGCACAAAGATTCACATGCATGCATGCACGAAGATTCACGTGCGTTCAAACGCACGCGTGCACAAAAATTCACGTGCGCGCACAAACGCATGCATGCACAAAAATTCACATGCGTGCACAAACGCACGCGTGCACAAAAATTCACGTGCGCGCACAAACGCATGCATGCACAAAAATTCACGTGCGTGCACAAACGCACGCATGCGCATGCACAAACGTGCGCATGCACAAACGTACGCATGCACAAACGTACGCATGCACGTGCAAAAAACACATATGCAAGCACAAAAAGCACACCCGTGCACAAAACCACACGTGCATGCATTGAAATAGAGAGAGATGCACGCGCTGCACCCTGCCTGCAAAACATTCAAGGGCAATAGCGGGGTGGGGATATTTGGGGGCGGAGGGTGCTGAGCGCAGCAGCACGGTGCCCCCGAAAGGCTGTGGATTTGCTTTCGGGGATGCTGGGCAGGGGGGGAAAACGTCCCCTAATGAAATGGCAATGAACCAATTAAAAAATTAGGGGGCGGATAAAGCGAGCGGAGCGAGGGCCGTACACAACGACGTCGTTTATTTAAACATTTACTCCAAGAAATATAAAAAAACCCGGCGAGGAGGACGCTGCCAGCACTAAGGCCGGAGGACGAGGCCTTCCGAGATCCGCGGGGTTTCCGACCCTCTTCTCCCTCGCGCCTCCTCCTTCGCTCGCCGGCGGCCGAGGGGGGAGAAGTTTAATCAGGCTAAAAAAGACATGGCTGGCGGCCGGATGACCCAAAATGATGCTTTTTTTGGGGGGTAAAAGCAGGGTTTTGGTGATTTCTCCACTC